GTTGCTTTAAGAGTTCTGGGATTGAATTTCTTGAAGCAGCACCATCTGCTTGCTTTATTGATTTATGATTGGAGGCCACAAAAACACTTCCCTCCATTCCCGTTCAAAGGCAGGCTGTTTTAATAAAAGAGATCTACACTCACATAAGATGGGAACACTTCTGAATCTGTGGGGTCCTTGGTGCTCTGTAAGGTTGGTTGTTAATTGTAGATGTTACATTATCCAACATTGCCAAAAAGGCATTAAGAATGGTTAACCTAATTTTGTGAAGCTTCTTCTCTGGTAACATTGTACTGCTAACTAGGCCATACAAATCCTTTGCCAGACCAATTCTCGAATACAGCTCATCTGCCTGGAAGCCACACTGTATATCGGACATTAACACAATTGAGTGGGTCCAGAGGCATTTCACGAGAAGAATAGTCCACTACTCTGCTCACAATAGAATCCCTTATGCCACCAGGCTTGAAATTTTGGGTTTGGACAATCTGGAACTGCGCTGCCTGCGGTCATACCTAAGCGTAGTACACATAATTGTCTGCTATAATGTCCTTCCTGTCAATGACTACTTCAGCTTCAACCTCAATAATACATGGGCAAACAATCAATACAAACTCAAGATAAACCGCTCCAAACTCAACAGAGTGGTCAGTGCCTNGTTCCCTCTGCAGCACTTGCCACAGTTGAGAAAATTAATGATATCTTGAGCACTCAGTTTGTGGATCGTATTCCTCATAGAGATTGTCAGTTAACACTTCTGGTGTTTCCTACTAGTAAGCTGCCTATGGGGGGTATTAGCTGTATTAGAAGACAAAAAGGTATATTGTGTTGAATGGCTTTACTTACCTCATACCCCATCTCAAAATGTCTTGCCATTTATCCAGGCCATTGCTGAATTAATAACTTTAGGACCCACTCGAGCTTGCCACAGAAATGGGACCAATTTGATTAATATTGTTCTTCCTATTCTGAAATCTGATTTTCAATTTTATTTTCAGAATAACTTATCTCTTCAGTGTGCTTTAACTGACCATGTGGGCTGTATTGCATATCATTTGCCTAAAGATCCTCGGCTTAATGACTTCTTCTTTTCCTGTCTGCCCACTGCTTTCGTCTTCTCCGCTTTCGCAAGCTCCTACTGTTTTTCAGATGGAGGACAAATGAGAGGAGTGATTGTTTACAAGGATTCTCATTATGATACCTAGAAGGCGTGCTACACTGCTAAAGGCATAATAGCAAGTGGTATCTTGTATGACCTACAATTGTAATAGTAGCCCAGGTATGCTTTTGCACTTGTGTTCAGTACTGAATACTATATCAACATGTTTGTGCTAAAATATTAAATAATTTAATTTGAAAATTAATAAAATATTTGTTTAAAGTCAGAAAATATATCTGAGAAAAAGGTTATTCATAGAAATAATGGGTCAGCATTATAGTGACAGTGGAAATACAGTTGGATGTTTTTCTTTTGGTTATATGTTTTTTCTGTATTTATAATAAACCATCCTACCAAATTCAAGATTTTCAGATTTTTCCATGTTTGAGTTTCTAATATTCTAAAACTTGAATGGAAGAGGAAAACTTGTCATGATTAATAATGTATTATCATTAAGCATTCAAGCATGGTTTTATATCAAAGATAAAAGTAATGAAAGGAACATGTTGAAATATGTTAATGTTAATTATCATTTTGTGAAAACATCTTTAATTTACACGTAAACCTTGCTTCATCTAAATAGAAATAGAAAAATATACTTTATTTTGCCTATATTGAGTACATTATAATTAACTTTATTTTTCATCATAGCAATTCCAGAATGAAAAACTAGGATGAATATTGTAGTCTGTTTTACCACTATTTTACTGGCCTTGAGCTTGCATACTCAGATCCAGTGGACTACTAAATAGTGATATCCAGTACATATATATACATACATACATACATACATACATACATACATACATACATACATACATACATACATACATCCAAATATATATAACATATATGGCTTATCATTATTACTTGTAATAATTTGCCATAGAAAACATGCTGTCTTTGAAAAGATAATTCTGCACATACTTACTTTAATGGTTTGCCTCCAGAAGTTGGTGGGTGCTCTATTACTGGTGGTTTTTAAGAAGAGATTTGACAGCTGTTTTTCTGAACTGTCTCCTGCTTAAGCAGGA